CCTGTGTGCAACGCTGCCCTTCTTGATGTCGGAGATGATCAGAGGATCTCCTGGCTTCCTGTTGGACGGAGCTGCACAAACACAAACATTGAAGGTGAATCGACACGGAAACAACCAGGAAGGCGTAAATAATTCAGCTCGGCTACGCTGCTGCTCCCAGAGACGAAATGTCACACGGAAAAAAAAAAAAGGAAAGAAATCAAAGCAGGAAATGTAACACTGATGTGACAAAGTGGAAACTGAATTTATTATGATTTCAAATAAAACTTTCATTTCCCGGACGTCTCTACATGATGTACGACCAAACCCAGGATCGTGATTCTACATTTGTCGAGTTGTGACTTTGGTGTTTTCCACTCACAGCTGATGGTGATTCCCAGCTCCACTCCGGGCTTCTTCGGGAGCTTCACGTGAAACGTTCCTGAACTGGGAATAACCGACTCTGAAAGACAGAATATAAGATAAAAAAGATCAACTTTACTGATGCCTCATCGGGAAATTTACAAAAAAAAGAGACACAATCAGATGGAAGCTTCACTTTTAGCTGTGACACCGGTCTGAAGAGAGACAAAAACCAGATTATATTTATTCATCTATCTATCTTCTGGATGTTTCTCGTCTCATTTTCTGCTCACTGTGGGATTATTGTTCATTTCTGAGAGAATTCTCTTCTGTGCAGGACGACACGGTTTTGATGCCATGAGACATCACAAAAAGTAGATTTTTAAATTATTTATTGTACAAAAAATGGAGAAAAAACCCTTGAATTTTCCTTTTATTTCGTTTCTATACTCGTCTCCTCGTCTGAATGGTCTCAGAATTTTCACCACCTCGATGTCGGCTGCAGGCGAGTCAGTCGTGGTTTTTCGGTTGCAGGAAGAAGTGCAGAGCTTTTAGTATCTTACAGAATCTGTTAAGTACCAGTGATTTACTTTTGGTGAGTTTTTAAGTGAGTCGTGTAGAACAAAGCGATGATTTTAAGTTTAGATTTGATTCGCTTTTCTGACAAAATGGCCCATTACAGACGATTAGTTCAAGATCAGCTGGTTCCTTCTGGTTTTGCAGGTTATGGCTGATAAATGGTGTCATTTTTTGTCATATTTTTTAAAAGACATCGTCACTTTTAAACCACAGCTACAAGGAGGCAGAACTTAGAAATGTTTTCTGAGCAGCTTGACGTCATTATTATGCCATAAATTGTAAAAATTTCTTTGATTATTTGTTCTGCAAACATTAACAAAAAACTGGAATCAACATGAAGAACATTACAGCCGTTACCGACACTGGAATAAAGATGGAAGCTCAACATAATCTACATATTTAACTATTCA